AGGCACAGTGTTCACACTGGGCAGTACACTTGGGCCAGTGCATCTTGTGAGTTCAGCTGTAGGCACAGTGTTCACACTGAGCAGTACACTTGGGCCAGTGCATCTGGTGAGCTCAGCTGTAGGCACAGTGTTCACACTGGGCAGTACACTTGCTGGTTGTTCTTTTTGCAGGAGGGTTTGAACTCAGGGTCTACCATGTTAGGTGCTCTACTGCTGAGCCATCCCTCTGACCCATTTTTTTGCTGGCTACTTTTGAGATGGGGTCTCGCTTCATACAGAGCACCTGACTGGACTGAAAGCCTCCTGCGTTAGGCTTCTGATCATGTCTGGGATGACAGGCATACATCACTAAAGTTTCTTTATATTGGGATGGCATCCTGCAGATTCTCTGCCCAGGAAGTATGAACCTGTCAACCTCAACTTCCCATGTAGCTCAGGATGACAGCTATGTGCCACTGCATCAAGCAGTGGGTTGAAACAGAGTTTTTACTTTTTTTTTCTTCTTGTCAGTCATGGGACCTGAACTCAGGGCCTGGGTGCTATCCCTCAGCTCTTTAGCTCAAGGCTAGCACTTTACCACTTGAGCCACAGCACCATTTGCGGCTTTTTCTGCTTATGTGGTGCTGAGGAATTGAAGCCAGGGCCTCATGCATGCAAGGCAAGCATTCTACCACTGAGCCACCTTCCCAACCCCGAGACGGGGTTTTTCTTGTGATTTTTTTCTTCCTGGCCTTGAACTATGACTGTGATCCTCCTGTCTCAGCCTCCCAAAAAGCTAGGATTATAGGCATAAGCCACTGGGAACCCAGAAAAGCACCTACTTCTTATAGATTGGTACAGGAGACAAGCATCTAGGCCCTGGTGGCCACCGTATCCCTCGCTGAAACTCTTGGCATCCGTATTTCCATCCAACAGGGGAAAAGGACTCTGATTTATTCTTTTCTTAAGAAGATACAGTCTGGGAGCATATTCAGTGGTACAGCATTTATCCAACACATACAAGGCCCTGGATTTAATCCCCAGTACCACCAAAATAAACACACACACACACACACACACACAGGAGCAAAATAACATGTGTTTTAGGAGTTCTCTACACTTGCACAAACCTTGAACTGCTGGCTCAAAGCTCAATGTGTAACAGGAGACAAGCGGAGCGACGGCAGGGAGACAGAACTTAGGTTCGAGGCTGGCCGGGGGGCGAGGAGCCTTTCGAAGCCTCAGCTAGCTCTCAGCCCTGACAATGCTTCTCTGAACAAAAAACAAGGGGAGCCTTCAGGTGGCGCTTCTGGAACTGGTCAAAGAGCATCATGCTTTCAATAGGTTCTCATCAACAGAAGAGAAACTTACTGTAAAGGCTGAAAAACTTGTACAACCAAAGGCCTCCTTTCCAGAGGTCTGAAACTGGATCTATTCATACATACTAAAGAAATACCTAGCCAGGCTCCAGTGGCTCATGCTTGTAATTCCAGCTACTCAGGAGGCTGAGATCTGAGAATTGTGGTTCAAAGCTGACCCTGGGCAGGAAAGTCCATAAGACTTGAATAAATTACCAAAAAAAGGCCAGCAGAAGAGCTGTGTCTCAAGTGGTAGAGTGCTAGTCTTGAACAAAAGCTTGGGGACAGTATCCAGGACCTGAGTTCAAGTCACAGGGCTGACAAAAGAGAAATACTGGTATGCCAGGTGCTCAGCTAGTGACAAATGACTGCGGCCTAAGGGTTGTGCAATGCCGGGCTTCGGAGGCCGAGGCCTGCTCCTTGCACCAGCATGACTCTGAACACAGGCCCTGGCTCAAGAAGCTCCAGGCAGCTCTTGGCAGCAGTGAGGACACAGGATGGAGAGCTAGAACCCACAGCAGCCCAACGTCCTCCCAGGAGAGCCAGTGGTGGCCCTAGGCTTCTACTCACCAGTTTCTTCTCAGAGAGTGGCTTCTTGCCAGGAGGCTCCGGCTGCTTGGCGTGGTCCACAGAGCCCACCGAGAGTGGCCTGGACAAGGCCTGCTTTGGAAGGAGTTGGCCAGGCTTAAGACCAGCCCAGGGGCATGAAGCCCACTGGGCCACGCCCTCCAGCAGGGGGCAAAGGCTGGCTGAGGAGAGCCTGGCAGGTATCATGGCTCCTAGGAAAAGTCACACGGCATGGTAAGACACCAACTCATAGGGACCAAAACCAGAGCCAAGTGCCCAGTCCACAGCAGAGGCTGGGTGTGAGTCAGACACAAATGAGTGCATGGATCAACCCTGCTGACCCTGAGACACGAAGTGCCCCCTGGAGCCTATTAGACTATTTTTGAGTTGGGGTAATATCTCTTATAGTAGATTTATGTTATTAAGTCTTTCATAACATTGGATGGATTGCCCTGGGAAATGTCAAGTAACTTCCCAGGAAAATCTTCAGGAAGAATCTGAACCTCAAGTACCATCTCTCTTTTTTTTTTTGGGTCCGGTCGTGGGCTTGGGTGCTGTCCCTCAGCTCTTCAGCTCAAGGCTAGCGCTCTACCACTTGAGCCACAGCGCCACTTCCGGCTTTTTTTTTCTTTTTGCTTATGTGGTGCTGAGGAATTGAACCCAGGGCCTCAGGCATGCAAGGCAAGCGCTCTACCACTGAGCCACCTTCCCAGCCCCAAGTACCATCTCTTTAACACGAGATGAAAACACCATTTGCTCAGTGTTACCAAGTTCTCTTTTGTTTGTGCAGTCCAAGGCTGCCACCCTGGAGTATGGGAGTACTAAGCAGGGCGCCTGAGCACCCAGACTTCGGACCTGGAGCAGCTGCACATGCTGCCTCCCGACTCACCGGGAAGCAGACACGCTGGCTGAGGCTGACACCTGGGGCGCTGCACTGCGATGTTCAGCGCAGGGTCTGCTAACTTCCAGTCCCTTGGAATTTCCCGAAAAGAGACTTCCCTCTGGCATTGGGTGAGGATGGGTCTACAGAGGCCAGGCCTTCCCCCTGGTGACAGCCTCCAGCAGAGGATGCTAGAGGCCACAGTCATGCCCATGTGGTAAAGCTGGCACGGAATCCTTTACCACAGAGCCTGGAAAGTGCTCAGGCTGGTGAGCGAAGATGGGACACACTGAAGGTCCTGCAGGCCTGAGCTCCTGATGGGGCCCCAAGCCTGCTCACCCGTCCAGCCCTGCCGGTTCCTCTCCAACAAATGGGGAGCCACCAAGAGGGTCTTTCCCACATGCCAACCACGCACGCACACTTCCTTCCTCCACTGAATGTCCCTTTCCTTGATCCTTTGACCCTGGCACTTGGCAGGTTACACTCCAAAGGAACCTCCTCCTTCCCACCAGACCTGCGGCAGGGCTCCATCAAGCCACCCCTGCAGGTGGCTCCTCTTGGGTAGCCCGTGTGCCCTCTGAGCACTAGCATGTAGCAGACAGGCATCTCTAGCTGTCAGCCTGTCTCCAGGGAACCTTCTCAAGTCATGTGGGACCTCGTTCTGCATGAACCACCAGTTTGTTCATTCATGTGCTCATGGCTTCTTGGTGTAGTCGATGAACTATTATCGTTCTTTTATTTCTTTTAGGAAGTACTGGGGGGTTGAATGTAGGACCTGGTGCTTACAAAGCAGGCATTTTACCAAGGGAGTCACAACCTTTGCCCCTTTTGCTTTAGCTATTTTTGCAATTTTAATTGTTATTTTAAAGGTGATGTATAGAGGGGTGACAGTTATATGTCAGGTAAAGAGTACATTTCTTTTTTTTTTTGGTCCGGTCATGGGGCCTGAACTCTGGGCCTGGGCGCTGTCCCTCAGCTCTTCAGCTCAAGGCTAGTGCTCTACCACTTGAGCCACAGCGCCA